GTGATGTTCACCAGTCATCTTCCTGTCCTGGTGTGGGTGATGTTTCCCAGTCATCTTCCTGTCCTGATGTGGGTGATGTTCCCCAGTCATCTTCCTGTCCTGGTGTGAGTGATGTTCACCAGTCATCTTCCTGTCCTGGTGTGGGTGATGTTCCCCAGTCATCTTCCTGTCCTGGTGTGAGTGATGTTCACCAGTCATCTTCCTGTCCTGGTGTGGGTGATGTTTCCCAGTCATCTTCCTGTCCTGGTGTGGGTGATGTTTCCCAGTCATCTTCCTGTCCTGATGTGGGTGATGTTCCCCAGTCATCTTCCTGTCCTGGTGTGGGTGATGTTTCCCAGTCATCTTCCTGTCCTGGTGTGGGTGATGTTTCCCAGTCATCTTCCTGTCCTGATGTGGGTGATGTTCCCAGTCATCTTCCTGTCCTGGTGTGGGTGATGTTCCCAGTCATCTTCCTGTCCTGGTGAGGGTGATGTTCCCCAGGGATGCATGTTCTGTATTTTTCCTATTGATTCTATCCCGCAATGATCAGAAATTCTTTATTTCAAATAATGTTGATTGCCCTTTCTTGAACCCACGTTGACATGGCCTAGCCTCTCCTGCTCGAATAAATCTATTAATATTCTATTTCATAAAGTACTGTAAGGTTTGAGATATGCTACTTTCTTCTTCTTCTGCCTTTCTATCCCCCAATGGAGCATATGCCCTTAACCAACTCACGCCAATTCGTTCTATCCTTCACCATTACATGGAGCTCTCCCCATGTCCTCCCCATCTTTCTAACTTCATTCTCCAGCTCTCTTCTCCATGTTTTTTTTTTTTAGCCTTCCTTTATTCCTATGCCCCTGTGGGTTCCAATGCAAACACATTCTAGTTATGCTATTCTCCTGTTTTCTCACTGTGTGTCCTATCCAACGCCAGCATCTTTTCCTCACCTCTTGGTCCACTGGAGCCTATTTAGTTCTCTTCCAAAGCTCTACATTAGTTATTCTATCATACCATTTAATTCCCTCTATTCTGCGCAGGCACCAGTTAATGAATGTCTGTAATTTATTAGTAATTGCCTTAGTTGTTCTCCATGTTTCCGCCCCATACAAAAGTACTGATTTGACATTAGAATTGAAAATCTTTAGTTTAGTATTTCTTTTAATTTCTTTTGACCTCCACAAATTCCGTAGTGCTATGAAAGCTCCTCTTGCCTTTTGTATTCTTATTTTAATATCTCTATCAGTTCCTCCATTTTTATCTAAATTTTCTGACCTGTTAGTGCATACCAGAACTTTATATATGTTTCTTATGTATTGTACTGTTTGTTTTAATTATTTAATTCAAAAATAAAAATACTATTCACGTTTTAAGATAAGGTGTATTGTTTCTAACTTAATTGCAGGAAAAATAAAATTATGTATACTGTACAGTATATTTAAATGAACAAAATAATAATGTAAAACTTTGGCTAACTTACAAAGGTTTTTTAAAAATTTTTTCTTAATATGCAAATATCATTAATCTGGATTGTTAAGTGAAATTTAAATATTATTCACAAAGATTTTTCAGTGTAATGTGAATATCATTCATAGAGGTTGTCAGTGAAATATAAATCTTGCACACAGGTTGTACAGCTGCAAGAATTGTTTGAAGTGCGCCACTCTGTGTTTATCCTGGGCAATGCAGGAACTGGAAAGAGCTGTGTCTGGAATGCGTTGAAACAAACAAACAAACTTCTGGGCAAAAAACCAGTGGCCATTGATCTGGACCCCAAATCTGTAACCAATGATGAACTGTTTGGCGTGATCAGTCCAGCAACAAGGGAGTGGAAAGATGGTAATGTTTGTTCCCTTTTTTTGTGTAAATGAATCTGAAACTTCTGTGACATTTGTGTACAGTAGCAGTTCATCATCTTCACATCTGATCAATGATTTAGTGGTTCTTTTTCTCTAACTTTCTGTTGGGTGCCAGTAGTAATCATGTCTGTCTCCACAACCATCAAACTTATGTTCTGTAAGTCACTTCTGATACACATAATCTTCTTTTCCATTTTACTATACTGGCCAACATCTTCTCTTTTTATTTCTCCCTCTGCCTCTTTTCTGCTCCAAATTTCTAGTGGTCATGTAAACTCCAGTTTTCTTCTTCTCACTCATCATCGTCATGTGCCTTGCTAATTAACAGAGGCTGTCATATTTCATCAGAATCACAGATCAGATCAGTGTTTCTTCTTCTCAATGCATGCCCAAAAATGTTTTGAGGGCACATCTGTTTTACAGATCTGGCTTATGTGCATACAGACTGTTGGTTACTCAACTCTCAGGCAGATGCACTCGATATTTGGGGGTGGATGGGAACACAGAGATGGAATGTGAGGTATGACTGTGGAAGAAAAACAGAATAGGTACTTCAGTGCTACTATTAATTTGGTCTCCAAGGTTTGTCTTACTTAATACAGTCAGTCCATCTATTGTGTGGTCTTTCTATTGATTTGTATTCATTATACAGTATCTCCTCAACTTACAACTAAGTTATGTTCCAACTAACAGGTCATAAGTTGAACTGGTTGTAAGTTGAATGTATATTTTTCAACTCTATTTTCATTTTAAACAGATTATACAAATTGTACACAAACACAAACAATCTATGTATGTGTAATTATTGTATATAATGGGAAAAATACATAGGTTCAGTTGCGGGAACTTTTTTGATCCTACCAAAGTAATTATCTTTTCTTTATTTATTATTTTCTTTCTTTATTATTTGTGGTTGTTAGTGCAGATGGTTGTAAGTCACATAGGTTGTAATTCTAGAAGAATGTGTACTTCATCAAAGTGGCACTCTGTGGTAGTTTAGACCATTTTAATTGTTATTCTTTAATAAATTACATGACAGTTTTAGTTCTAGTTTCTTTCTAATTTATTTACTGTAAATAACTTTACTGACTAGTCAGTTTCCCAGTATAAAGTATATAATGAGACAGTTATACAGGTGACTGTCAAAGATACCAATATACAAATAAGTATAATTGTTGAACAATCAAAACATCAGGGTTCTTGATCTTAAAAATCAACACCCTACCACTCAGTGAAAAGCTTCTTTGTCACCAAAAAACATGAGATACAGAGGCTGATCATTTCTGTAGCACATGTGAACATGTCTGATTTAAAGTATGTAGAGCAGCGGTCTCCGACCCTTTTCAGGTTGTGTCTTTTTTAAGTATATTGAAAGACTCCCACACCCCCTTGAGTAAATGGCAAAACCCACACTCTTTCCTCTCTCCATGTAACAAAATGCGATTAAACAGATGAGGACAGTAGATTCCACAATAAGGGAAACAGACAGTAATGAGATACTCTTTGGTCAGAATATGTTCTTAATCTATAAATTCTTGTATTATCATAATAATGAGTTTTTGCAACTGTAGATTTAAAAAAAAAAACTGCTTATGAAAACAAACAATGTCCTTGGTATTTGTTTGTTTCTTTTGTTTTATAAATTGTTTAAAAAAATATGTTATTATTTTATATATATATATTTAAAAAAATGTTTAAACAGGTTATTGCAAATAAAAATACACTCAGTTTCAAAACTGAGTGATGCTCCCTTGAAACCTCCTCACGCTGGAGACCACTGATGTAGAGGATTCATCCAAATATTAATACAACTTGTTAAAGTCAGTGTTGCTGGATTGCTGTTCTTGTTCTCTTGTTCTAGGCTTGTTTTCAGTAGTAATGAGAGACCTAGCTAACATGTCTGGTGATGGACCCAAGTGGATTGTGTTAGACGGAGATATTGACCCAATGTGGATTGAATCCCTGAACACTGTTATGGATGATAACAAGGTACAGCGAAATATGTTATTAAATAAAAGGAAAAGTGAATCAGTGTCATGTTTTCTTTTAGCCAGCTGACTTTCACATTGTGCTGATTGAAGGAATGTGATACTAATTCAGTTCTGCAGATGTTTCTCTAATTGTAGTGGGAGCCATGGTAGCATAGCACACATGCCCAATGAGCCTAACGTCAAATTTCAAATTTGCATCAAGGCAGATTTTTCTTCTTCAAAGTTGACCTTGGTTCCCAGGTTGATTCAGCTTAAATGAGTCCCAGACAATGTCCTGGGAAGTAAAAGCAGCTGGTGTGATATTGACTAAATCACCAAGCGAGTGCTGATTGGTCTGTACAAATTTCGATCTAGCACAATATTCCTGATGCGCCAGTATTATGAAAGGAGACCTTGAATTTTTTTACTAATTGCAGTGAACAATTTTATAACTGTTTTGTTTGCTTGCAAATTGTGAGTTCACTAATAAAAATGTAAGTTAGGGATAGTGACTGCTGCAGCAGATGACAGTTTAAAATAGAACCAACTGGGTAGGGTGTCATTCTGCAGATAAACAAACTAGACCACACAAAGTTACATGTTTACATTAGCAAACAATAGCATGTTGCTGGATGATGCATCCATTTGAGTCAGTTTTATTTTAATGTCAGCCATTTTAATACAGTATATAGTTCATACATTTTTGTGTGTCGATATCGGCATCAAATATCTTTTCTGTTTTTTCCGTTTCTGAGTATTGTCATTATCAGACTCAGTTTAAAATGCATTTTTGTTTCTACTGTTATAGTCACTAGAATGTGTTTCAGTTGATAGAAGTAAAAAATAATATGTGTACACTTGTTTGGTATTTGTAGTAGATTCCCTTTTTTTCTGTGCTCTCTTCTCTTACACACACACACACACACACGCACACGCATACATGCACATATCCATGTGCGTGCGCAAACACACACACATACACACATACCCACCCCTACAGAGAGAGAGGGAGAAAAGGGCAGAGAGAGACAGTCACAAATAGCAATCATAGTAAATGATTATGAATTAGGTTAAGGTAGTCTGCTACGACACTTGTCTTTTAGTGTGAGTGTACTAAAACAAGTGACTACTGAAACTTTTTTTTTCCTCTTGTAAGGTGCTGACGCTTGCTAGTAATGAGCGCATCACAATGACTCGATCTATGCGACTTTTGTTTGAGATCAGCAACTTAAAAACAGCAACTCCTGCGACTGTTTCCCGTGCAGGCATCCTGTTCATGAATCCATATGATATTGGCTGGAACCCGTGAGTCTGTGTCCTGTCCGTATTTTCTGTTCAATATTAAAAACAATCAGCCTAATTTTTTCTGTGTTTTATTTGAAATACCATTTATTTTATCATTTACTACAGTTTTGGTCTCCGTAGCAAAGTGCTTAAGCCCAATGCTCTGAAAATTGTACCTTTGATTTAAGACTGTCATGCTCCATGCAGTGAAGTTAATCCTCTTGCTTTAAAGGAGATTGTCATCATCAGTTTCCACTTTTGCCCTTAAGCACCATGGGGAGAACAGATCCATAGCGTGATCGATATGAATGGCTTTTGTCATTCCATGTCAGTGTAGAAGTCCTTTAATGTCATAAGCCTATCTTCTCCTAGGGTGTCCTCTTGCTTTCAGATTAGATCTTTCCATAGGTAATTTTAAGTAGGTTAGCTTTTAATAATGTCCAAGTTTTGGCACTGGTAGCACAGTGTCAGGTTGAATATGCTGTCTATAATCTTATTTTTGGCAGCCATACTTATGTTTGGATGTCCTAAAAACAGCATCAGCTGGTATTTTATAAGCGCACTGGCTCATTGGCGTCCAGTTTATATTCCCAATCTATTCTTCCATCCTCTGAGAATATACTTCCTAGATATATTTCAATTCGTAAGCTTGAAAGATTTACCATTGATTCTAAATTTACTCCAGCCTGGTTTGTATAGGTGAGATATTTTTGAAATATTATTATTTTTAGGCTGGTATTCAACATTGTCTTTAGTTTTTGTTGCTGATTATTGTGCTTTTTCTTCAGATATGTACAGAGCTGGATTGATAAAAGAGAAGTGCAACAAGAAAAAGCTAACCTAACAATCCTGTTTGACAAATATGTAGGTTCTTTGCTAGACTGCATGCGTATTCGCTTCAAGAAGATAACCCCAGTTCAGGAGATTGCTCATGTGCAGGTACCACCAGATACTTTAAATGCTTTGGGGAAATTAGTAGCCAGTGTTTCTGAAGTTTGAATTTAGAGAAACACTTTTGTGTAGTTATTACTGTTGTGGTTATTGATAGCTGACACATTTTTTTTTTTTTAATCATCAGACATTATCCCTCTATCTCTGTTTCTCTTTCTCTAACTCTCTCCCCCTCTTTTGTTCTTTCCATGTCTCTCTCTCTATATATATATATTTTTATATACACACACACACACATTTGCATGCATGTGTACTCGCTTTGTGTGTGTGTGTGTGTGCTTGCATGCGTGGGTGGGTGTGTGTGTGTGTCTACATATATATATATAATTATATATATATATATTGTTATTTACATACTTTCATGAAGACTTTAGAGACGGTTAAATAACTTGCTGGTGTTGTAACATGTAAATTATGTCACTCACAATGTGTGTGTGTGTCCATAACATGATATAAGTCCAGAAGTTGATGAACAACACACACTTTCTGCTAAAGTTTACTGCTTGTGAGAACTAAGAAGAAGAAGAAGAGTTTATACAGTACTGTATGGGAGTAGTAGAGAAGTGTTTACTGTTATGTGTTCTAATTCCTTTTAAAGATGGAATTTGTCTGTAGCCTGGGCTTCCATGTCAAACCAATCTGATTTGGGTACATAGATATTCTAAGAGAAGTACAGGAGGCAGGTGTTATAGTGAATACATAATTCACAGAATAAATGCCTATGAGATATAAGGATTCGACTTTTACTATCAAGCAAATGCTTTTTATGGTATGAAAAAAGGGTCTTTACATACTGGAAAGCTATTTAGAGTGGTGCATTTCTCACACACTGAAAGTCTCTGTGGCAAACTAGTTCAGATATGCTTAAGGATAAAGCTATGTCCTCTTCCAGTTTGAGTTTAACTCTTTCAGGACAACATTATTTTTGGGGTTTGGACAACATTATTTTTAGCTGAATTTTTTTTGCTGCAACATGACAAAGCTAAAACCTTCATGAAGAAAAAGTACTGGCTGTATAGAGACATATAATATACCATTGTCACTTCAAACTGGACATTTTTCAAATCAAACTGGACAATTTTCAAACTACCTAGGACGTTTTTAAAATCAAACTGGACAATTTTTAAAGCACCTAGGATGTTTTGCAAATCAAACTGGAAATTTTGAAAATCATGTAGGAAGTTTTTCAAATCAGATAGGACACTTTTCAAAGCAAACTGGACACAATTAACAATTAATACTTCTTTAAAAAAAAAGGAATAATGGAAAAGAAAAATCAAAGCTTGCAAGATGAAAGGCTGGCCTGCTGAGGCTGTATAAAGTTCATCATCATTTGGAGGACGTAATTTGTGCAGTCTTGCTGTGTTACTGTTTCAATGCTTTCTTCAGTGACCTTGCTTAGTGTCTGGTTGGGCGTCAGATTGCACATGCCTTTACCTTAGAGAACAGGTTTTTCTGTCAGGTTCAGAATGTAGGAGTAAGGTGACAGGAACTTTAGATAAAAGGATGAGCCCAGGATTTTTCGTAGATCATATGGTTTGTGGATTCTTGCTTTGTCCTGTATCAGCCATGCACCGTTCAGCTCCTCCCTGCTACCTATACACATCACAAGCTCTTTGACAAATGTGTAGAACTTTTAGCCTTTGCAGGTGCCATCATCGATGATTTTTGAGTGAACTATGCCTTGGTCGTTCATCACCACAATTAGTGTCACCATATGGCCTCTCAGTGTGGGCAGGATAATGTTTGATCATTTCCCTCTTCTTGAGCAGGCCTGTGTCTGTCGTAAATGAAGATTGAATCCACACTCATCAATGAAGATGCACTTCTCCTTGTCTTGTGGAGCAATTGCTGAGAAGTCGAGAACCTAAGTTTGTCGGCTTTAAATCGTTGTGATGCTGTTGATGCGGTCAAGTTCGCAATGGCGCTTCTTTAGGGTGATTTTAAGCTTTTTGGGGCGATTGAAAATTAAAGATACGGCCAAGTCAATCCCGTTCTCCTTCATTCACTGCTGTATCTGCAGCAAGGTATCATCTGGATGTCGTTTAACGATGTGTTCAATGCACTGCAAGACATTGGTTGTCAGCTTTTCTTTGTTGTTTTCCACCACAGTTTCGTAGGAAAATGTCGCCGTCTCATTTTTAGTGTCTTATAATGTTTCTTGCTGTGTTTTGGTTGATACCAGCGACTTGAGCTGCCTCGTGGGTAGTTTCTCCATCGGCTAACACAAGCCTAATAAGAACCTTTTTATGTGCAAGGAAGTTTGCTTACACTTTCATTGCCACAGATACGCATTGTTGTGAGTTGGTTGCTCATTTTTGGGTGCTTCACTAAGTTTACAGGACTTTACAATAAACTGATAAAAAAAATGCATTCTTCTATTTATAGATATAGAAAAAGAACATTCCAGAAAGAATTACGTAAATGTGTATTCTTGAATATCTCGAAAGTTCCTGCATATCCTTGAATTAAGGCAATTAAAAATCTTTAATTTTGTTGGGTTAGAAAAATGTTCAGTTTGATTTAAAAAATGTCCTAAGTGGTTTAAAAATCATCCACTTTGATTTGAAAAATATCATTGGTTTGATTTTTAAAATGACCTGGATGATGTGAAATTGTCCACTTTGATTTGAAAAATGTTCTAGATGTGTTTGAAAAGTGTCCAGTTTAAAGTGAAAAGGGTATATATCAAACTAGAGAGAAGTGAAGGCATAATAAATCTAAACTATTTAAGTTTCAGAATTACAACAACATTATTAAAAAAAAAACAATATTCAATGATGTTAGACACGTATGAAGATTATTTCTACATGAAATGTTGTGCTTACCTAACCTTTTACTTTTCAACAACACTGCTACCTTCTCTATTCAGTTGTGCATCAGATAGTCTTTATTTCAAAAAAATAATAATTTAAATACTTTTGATTTTATGACCACTTGTGTATGACATGTCAAATTTCACAACAATTGAAACAGGGAAAACAGGGATGATCTATTGAAATATTTTGTTCAACTTCATCCTAACCTATATTATCGGCAATAGGTTTGTTACTTGCATTATCAGTCATAATATCAAGACTATTGTCACTATCTGGCCGAGATTCATTAATGACAGAACAATATGAACAGTACTAGACCGTTTCCCCTATCGTTTGGTCTGGAAAAATCACATACAAATTGTATCACACTCAGTTAATTATAAACAAAAGACTTTGTTTTGTTAATTCTAGTTTGTCAAAACATAGTCGTACAAATTTATTTTCTAAGTAAACAAAACAATATTAGAGTGTCTCTGTGAAGAGCCATAATACAGTAAGTGTATGCAATAGTGGCGTTCCATCTGAACGTGATGGATTAAAAAGCCACTTAAGTGACGTTCCGTCTGTAAAGAGTTAGTTTACACTTTGTACTTCAGTTTACAAGTAAAGGTGTTTTATTGATGCTTTATGCAGTACTCTTGCTGGCGACCTGTCATTTGAAGAAGAATGATAGAGCCATATGGCTCAAAACCCGTTGCAATGAAGCCAGTAGTACCCTCACCTTGAAAACACCCATTTTTAAAAGCATTTTCACAGCATCATATTTCATGGGTGTAAAGGCTTAAAGTCATTCACAGCAGACATAATCAATAATCACTTACTGTATTTACTATATCAGGATTTTCTTGTAAAAGTTAAAGGTGAGAAGATCGAGTTCATTGCACCAGGTTTTTATCTTGTGTGTCTTGGTCTCTCTCCGCCGAATGGCTAGTTGCCTGCTAAGAATGTCGCACAAATCATGAACTCCATCACTTTGTTAACAGTCCCCAGGGATGTCTGTAAAAAAAATTACATCTGTGAACTGAATGACACAGCCGTGAGATGAACCTGTGAACTTCAGAACATGAGGCAAATAGCTTGACCTCTTTGTCACAGAGATGCTCTTTCACTATCTTTTGATAGATCACAGTAAAAAGGAAAATGTAAGAGACCCTTCTCATGCCAGTGGGGCATCAAGCATATGTGATACAAGACACATTTTCGTAAATCATTCAGTCCTTAATGGAGGATGTGGTCAGCATCACACTGCCCACCTTTACTTCCCATGAATTTACCTAGTATCAGTGTTAGGCTGAGTTTACCTGTGAGACAGATTTTCATAAAGCAAACGGCCCTTGATAGGGGATGTGGTCAGCATCACAATGCCCACCTTTACTTTCCATGAATTTACCTAGTACTGGTGTCAGGTTGGGTTTACCTGTGAGACAGATTTTCATAAAGCAATCAGCCCTTGATGGGAAATTTGGTCAACACCACACTGCCTGCCTTTACTTCCAATGAATTTACCTGGTATGCATGTAAGGCTGGGTTGACCTGCGAGCTAAGGTCAGTTTTGACAAAGTCCACTTAATGCAGTTTTGATCCCAATACCTTTTGGCCAGTAGGTGAGCATTTAGCCACTATGCTATCACTGTTTTCTATAGAACACAATGAGTGACTTAAATAGTTCATAAATCCATCATCTATTCCTCAATACCTATGTTTGTTTTTGCTATTTTAGAATTCTATGTACATGTTTTTCCAAGATGGCGTCTGTTTCCATGGCAACCATGGTTTTTTTTAATTTTAAGTGTGCAAATGTATTAACATACATCCCTTCAAACAACTATTGTAAAAGAATTGGTCTAACATTGTAAATAAAAAAAATTAAACCATTCAAATATTTCACAGATGCTAACATACTTACTGGAGTGTGTTCTCACTGAAGAGAACTGCCCTGCAGAGTCATCCAAAGAATTGTACGAACTATATTTTGTATTCTGCTGTGTGTGGGCTTTTGGTGGCTGCTTGTTTCAGGATCAGGTTAATATGGTTGTCATGTAGCTTGCTTCCATCGCTGTTGAAATATTCACATGTTAACATGGGGCCAGTCTTGAGAGTAGGCAGGACTGCAAATTTTGTGACCAGTCAGTCGAAGTTTTATAAAAGTATGCACCTAAACCTTTGCTTCATTGACTACACAAAGGCTTTGAATGGAGTAAGAAATGCCAGCGAAATAAAAAAGTTGCAATCCTTCAAGTTGGTGGGAAATCTCTTAGACTTTTAAAGAGCTTATACTGGAAATGTCTGCATCTGTGACTTAGGCATTGCGGGCGCTGTTTGTAATGCTTGGGTGACGGGATTGATCCCAGCTGCGGACCTTGCACTGGTTTCGATAGTGGTATCGAGAAACCAACCGCCCAGAAAGCAGTGGCAAACTACTGGAGGTAAATTTGTCTAGAAAAACCACAACAGCCCAAAAAATGCTGGGGTTGGTTCTGCAACGTCTTGTAAAGGATACGCAACTAACTTTTTCAATAGTGGAAATAAAATACTGCCATAAAAATAGATAATGGAGTTGGTCAGTAGCTGCGAATCAAGAGAAGTATACAACAGGAATTTATCTTGCCTCTGAACCTCCCTCTCCCACCCTGTCCCTTTTCATGCAATGTAAATACTATGAGAAATTCAAAGGATGAATGGAATCAGCATAGTCGAAAATTACATATCCGGCAACTATTTAGGGGAGTTTCCCTCAAAGTCAGAGTGCATCTGCCTGAGCTACAAGGAACTAACAGTCTACATATAAATAAGCCATATGTAGAAGGGATATGCATGCAAAACTCAAATTCTGGAACAAGACCAAAGTCCAGAAGTGAATGAACAACCAGAACTTTCCACTGGAGTTTACAGCTGGTAAACACTAAGGAGAAAAAGAAGAAGATATGCATATGACAGGATAGAGTATAATTACCTATATACATATACATATATATATACATATACATATATATATATAAATATATATATATATATATATATATATATATATATATATATATATATATATATATATATAGAGAGAGAGAGAGAGAGAGAGAGAGAGAGAGAGAGAGAGAGAGAGAGAGAGAGAGAGAGAGAGAGATCCAATAAAAAAGAATGAATATTAACTGAGTGTCTGTTGTATTATCCAAAAACCAGCTTTGTGACCACCGAGTTGACTTCACCAAGTGGTTTGTCTTGGAATACAAAACTGTGAAGTTCCCATCAGCTGGAACAGTGTTCGACTACTATCTCTGTCCTAATACACGGACATTCAAGCCATGGACAAACCTTGTGCCAAGTTTTGAGTTTGATCCAGATATTCCATTACAGGTAAGTCCTAGGAAACAGTACATGTATCGACTGATAGATAAAACTCTTGTCTTACAACCACTTTCATAACTCTTGTCTGTCTGTCTGTCTAATCTATCTAATCTATTTAATCTATATATATATAATCTATATATATATATAATTTTTTTGTATGTGTGCTTGCCCTTAAAATTTAATTAGGCAGATTGTGCTGTAGTTACAGCTGTGCTTGTTTTATGAATGTTTTATGAATAAAACATGCTTTATAGATTCAAAAGTTGAGTGTTCTTGAAGGGCCAAATGTAAGAAGGGCCTGGGCCTTCCTGTCAAATTTAAAACCCTTTAAAAAAAAATTTTCATTTATTCGTTTGTCTGTTCATTCCCAGTAACCCTATTGGTAATTACTTATTCCTTAACTTGTCCTTACATTTTGCCTTCCTTCGCTAGGCCACTATTGTACACACAGCAGAAACTCATCGCCTGAAATATTTCCTGGACATGTTGGTGGCCACCCGCCGGCCGGTGATGCTTGTAGGGGCTGCTGGTACTGGCAAAACTGTGTTGATGAACAACAAACTGAAGTCTCTCAACACTGATGACTATGTCATTGCCAATGTGCCTTTTAACTTCTACACCACTAGTGAGATGCTTCAGAACATCCTGGAAAAGCCCCTGGAGAAGAAAGCTGGTCGAAATTATGGGCCACCTGGCACAAAAAAGTTGATCTATTTTGTTGATGATATGAATATGCCAGAAGTAAGTATGAGCTTTCCTTTTATCACAGTTTAGTTTAGTATGGCTTTGGAATTACCCCCGTTTCACCATTTGGTTTAGTATGCCTCTAGGGTTAACTTGTTTTCACCATTTGGTTTAACATGACTGGCATTAGCTAATTTTCATCATTTGGTTTAATATGTCTCTGGGGCTTGTTTTCACCATCTGGTTTAACATGACTCTGGCATTAGCCCATTTACACCATTTGGGTTAATCTGACTCTGGCACTAGCCAGTTTTAACTATTTAGTTTAATGTGCCTCTAGGGTTATCCTGTTTTCACCATTTGGTTTAATATGACTCTAACATTAGCCTATTTTAACCTCTTGGTTTAGTGTGTCTTTAGGGTAAACCTGTTTTCACATTTGGTTTAGTGTGCCTCTAGGGTAAACCTGTTTTCACCATTTGGTTTAGTGTGCCTCTAGGGTAAACCTGTTTTCACCATTTGGTTTAGTGTGCCTCTAGGGTAAACCTGTTTTCACCATTTGGTTTAGTGTGCCTCTAGGGTAAACCTGTTTTCACCATTTGGTTTAGTGTGCCTCTAGGGTAAACCTGTTTTCACCATTTGGTTTAGTGTGCCTCTAGGGTAAACCTGTTTTCACCATTTGGTTTAGTGTGCCTCTAGGGGAAAGACTGAGCGACTTCTGCACGGTGAATAGACTTGTTATAGGAGGAACACTATTTCCTCACAAGAATATACACAAGCTTACATGGATATCCCCAAACAGAAGAGATGTAAACCAGATCGACCATTTCATGGTAAACAGAAAATGGCGTGGGTCCCTACTCGATGCGTGTCAAAAGGGGAGCAGATGTGGGAAGGGATCATCACCATGTAGTCGCTCTACTACGACTTAAACTCAAAAAAGTTGTTCTTTAAAGTGTATATAGCTTTAAGGATTTCTTGTTTGCTTGGTGGTTCAGTAATAATGTCAATGTCCTGAGAGGCTGGTTGAATATCTGGGGGATTTTCAGGATCAGGTCTGTTCATGAGGTCGGAGAAGTGTTTAGTCCACTGCATGTCTTGTTTTTGTTCTGTGGTGAGCAGTCTACCTTGGTTATCTCTGATGGGTATGCTGTGATAATTGTTTCTGTTTCCGCAAATTTGCTGGGTAATTTTGTGTAGGGTTTGTAGATCATGTGCTTTAGCAGCATTTTCTGCTGTTTCTGCAAGATTTTCCATAAATCTTCTCTTGTCAGCTCTGGCACTTTTCTTGGTCATTTTATTTAGTTCGCTATATTCTAACATTAGTTTGTCTTTCTGACGTTCTGATTTAGTGTGATTTATGAGGCTCTTTATTCTTTTTCGCTTGGCAATATAGTCCATGGTTTGACTACTTATCCATTCTTTGTGGTGTTGTTTCCTGGTTCCTAATATGTTATTGCTAGTTGATTTGTATGTTCCTTTGATCTGGTTCCATCTGTCTTGAATGCTGATTGTAGTTGGAGTTTCTGGGTCACTTGATAGGGTTTGAAATCTATTCTTGAGTTCTACTATAAATTTAGTGGCATAGAGGGAAAGAGAAAAGAGGGGCGCCCAAAAACAACATGGAGACGAACGATGGAAAGTGACCTGAGTGCGGCATCTTTGACATGGAAAACTGCACTGAAGATTGCACAGGACAGGAAAGCATGGAAAGTCCTCTCTGAAGCCTCATGTGCCACTAGGCATAACGAGAACTGATGATGATGATAGGGTAAACCTGTTTTCACCATTAGGTTTAGTGTGCCTCTAGGGTTAACCTGTTTTCACAGTTTAGTTTAATGTGACTCTAACATTAGCCTATTTTCACCACTTGGTTTAATATAACTCTGGCATTAGCCTATTTTAACCTCTTGTTTAGTATGACCCTGAGGATAATCCAGCCTCCTAAAAATGGGTGCCTAGCAGTTTTCTGGGAAAGGAAAGTGTTGAGGAAGAGAAGTGACAGCCTCGCCTCATATATCTTGGATTCGAATATGTGAAGATCACGCCTCATATATCTTGGATTCGAATATGTGAAGATCAGTACTTTACACCCTAACACCGGTATCTCTTTTGCTTTTTATCCGCAATTAGAGCATAGGTCCTCACCCACTTTAAGCTAGGTCGTCCTAGCCTTTGCTATAGCAGTTACCTCACCCCATGTCCTCTCCATCCTTTTAACTTCACTCTCTAGCTTTGTTCTCCATGTGTTTTTTAGCCTTTTTAAAAAAAAATCCCTGTGGGTTCGTGTGTAAGGACATTCTTGTTATGTTGTTCTCAAGTTTTCTACACCCATGTCCTGTCCAATGCCAGCGTTTTTTCTTCACCTCTTGCTTCGTTGGAATTTGCTAAGTTCTTTTCAAATCTCCATGTTAGTAATTTTATCATAACACTGGGATTATTTAACCGTAGTATAGTTTTGTTGTTGTTGTTGTTGCTTTGCCTGAAGTTGCTAAATATTGTTTTCATTTTAACTGTTGTGTGAGAATTTGTTTCACCAAGCTTGCGCTCTGAGAACATGAGGGGACATGTGCAGACAATAAATAAAAACTTCTTTCTTCTTTCTTCTTAGGTAGACAAGTATTTCACTGTGCAGCCGCACACACTGGTCAGGGCTTGCATAGACCACGCTCACTGGTATGACCGACAGAAACTCTCCCTTAAAGAAATACACAATGTTCAGTTTGTTTCCTGCATGAATCCTACAGCCGGCTCTTTTACCATAGATGCTAGGCTGCAGGTAATCATTGCATTTATGTTTACATTCATATATTTTAAGAAACATATATCTACTAATACACAGGACATTAACATATAGCAATAACTATAATGACTGTTGATATGCACATACAAATTTAAAACAGAAAATTACTGTAAACATGTTTATATGCACAGTAGCATTTGTATTGTGTTGAACCTTTGTGTTTATGCTCCCAATTATGTGAGGAGCATTACCCAGTTTTTTTTTTTCACACCCACTCTGTTTCAATTTGTTTACATACCTGAAACATTGTGACTGTATTTAATTTCTCTAATCAGTTTACAGTTTTCCTTCTTGGACTGTTTTTGTTTTTCATTCCTTTGTATTCTTTATATTTACCTTAGAAGCACATTGTCACTGCCATTATATGTTCTTAACAAGTCTGCCTAATTTTCTATGTTTCACATGCATATAACAGTGTAGATTTTATATTTAACACAGTAACTTTTTCTTTTTTTGCTTCTCCTTCAAGAAGTTGTTTCCTAGTAAGTTTGTTTTTCATCTTTCAAAAGTCTACTTTTACTCTGGTCATTCTTATTCTAATCTCTGCAAGGCATCTTCTGTCAGATGTTGTGACTGTTCCAACAACATTGTACTTATTCACATGTTTTCTCATCTTTTTCTCATCTGCTTGATTATCACAAACTCACACCAAGTGGTCCATCATTTTCTGTCATGTGTAGCTCACCCCACATTCTTTCTGTCTTCTTCACTTTACCCTCAAATTTTATTCTGCATGTTATTTTTGTTTTGGGGTCTGCGTTTATTCCTTTGTCCTTGTGGGTTCTAGTCTAAAGACATTCTAATTGTTATTAGTGTTATCAATGTCATCATCTTTTCCTAACCTCTTGATTTACTGCAAATTGTTTTATTTCTTGCCTAAAGCCCTACATTAGGAATTTCATAATATTTTTAGTTAATTTCACTTCTGTGCAGTTAACTCCTTGAGTCCCAAGGAACGCATCATACGTTCATAGGTTCCTACCTAGAAGCCCAATGATCGCATGATGCACCGATTTTATCACTTTCTTTACTACTCCCTGGGCCTGTGATGCTAAACCCCCTGGGACTCAAAGAGTTAATGAATGTTTGTAGTTTGTTAATAACTGTTTAGTCCTTGTTTCAGCTGCATACAGCAGTAGTGAAAAGTCAGGCAAAATTACACATTTAAATAATGTGGAGACAAAGAATACATTGCATAGTTTATTGTCAGCCATATTTTGCTGCATCTGTTCAGGTGCATTACTGCAGTTATATCAGTGTATATGGAAGCATAAGCCCTCAGGACATTTTGAAGAGTCCTAGTTTATTATTTTCTTTTCCATATCAAGTCAAGAATATACACAACCGAAATACACAACGGTTTCTTTCAATGCATTGTTATCAAATTGCTGGAAATTCACGAAAATCATGTGACTTACTAGAATAACTTCAGATTGACAATTAACTCTTTTTGCCTAAATAAGAAAGGATTACACATTTTTATAAATGAAGCTTTGGCCAGTCTCAGAATTCACCTGTTAGGAGTGTGGTAAATCACATAAAAAACACTTTTTTTATGTAGGCAGAAAGAGTTAATTGTCAGTTTGACGTTACCCTGATGTCATGTGACTGTTGTGAAGGTCTGGAAAATTGACGACATTGAATTGCAAGAGACCATTTTGCATTTCACTTGAGTTTATTTTTTTATGTCTTATTATGTATTTATAAAACTGCAGTAATGCAAGGGATGTGTTGCAGCAAAATATGACCAGCAATCAATTGTGCAATGCATTGTTTATATCCTCATTATGTAAATTCAATACGGGAAAACATTGTTTTGAACAAATTATACATCCCTGTCATAAGTCCCTCTTGATAATCTGGCAATACCTCAATTCTAATCAGTTTTTATGTCAACAGTCTAAATATACTAACTATATGTTAACAGTTTGTTTTATGTACTACTTAGGATTTCTTCTATAACTATTCAGTAATGTATTGTGTTTCCTCAGCGCCATTTCTGTGTGTTCGCCTTGAGTCTGCCAACTAAAGATGCCCTGCTAGCAATCTATAGCAACATTCTTGGACAACACATGCAGTTAAATAATTTTAGCCATACTCTCCAGCGTTACTGTAACAACATTGTGCATGGAGCTATTGCCTTTCAGGCAAAAATGATGTCCAGCTATCTACCCACGGCCATTAAGTTCCACTATATTTTTAATTTAAGAGACATGTCCAATATTTTCCAGGTAAGTCAAAAGTGAATGTTCTTTCTTCTTCATTTAATGTTTATTGTCGGGCAGTTTGTGATCCCCCTGAATACTTCGTCATTTCTGCCTTTTGTTTTATCTGACCATTTAATCCTTTCACACCTGAATTCCTTTTAGAAAATCCCCAAACCTGTGAGTCCCAGAAAATGTCAAAGCTGCTTGACACTTTAACATGATAACTGTTTCAGTAGCTCCAAGATACGCTGCTGAACCTCATAAGAAGCCATAATGATGACACCTGTAACGGTTACATTAAGTATTACATCAAATGCCTGACTGTTCTGGGTAGGTAAAGATAATTCTGTGTAAATCCACCAGAATTCAGCATCAAAGTTAACAAGACAATCCTCAAGCAAGTTAGATGTCTGAGTACTTGGGTACTCTGATAAAAGCAGATCAATGATATTTTAAAAAAGTTAAATGTAGAATAGCTTAAGCAAAGGCACCATTTTACAGACAAAGAATAATCTCTGCAATCTTTATTTTGTCACTAGAGATGAGAAAAAGAATTTCCAAGAGCTTTATCAATCCTATCCTGAAATATGGAAGTGAGTCATGGACAGTTGGATGATTAGTGAAAAATTATTTGAAAGCAGCGAGGATGTCGTTTTATAGATAAATGATAAGGATACCCTAAATTGAAAAAGAATAAGCGATGAAGATGTCTTCAGAGAAACGGACTCACAAAGAGAACTGAATGCCCACATCAAAAAAAGACAATCTACATTATTTCATCAGAATTAATTGAAAGTTTACAAGACAGAAGGTTGTGGATAGACATGACTACCAATGCCACACCTTTTGACATCAGCCTGAAGTATTAGCTTGTGAACAAGATACCTGAACAATACTGCTATTGTTGATATTGCGATTAACTAAATTTGAAACATTCTGGTCATGAAACATTATTAAATACAACAGATCATGATCTCACCACGCTATAACTATAACCCCATTACAATGAAAATAGTTATGATTGCCATACTTCATTACTTCGGTTATTATTTTTACTAAAAATAATCATTTCAAGTCTGTCCAGGCATTGTGGCAAAACTGTTAAAGATTTCTTCCAGGTATTGGCTAATGTAATGAAACCAAAGTAACAGTTTTTGGCTCTCCTTTAAATAACGGTCCCAAATGATCTACGCAGAAAGTTAACCCTAACAGCCTCATTACGTCCTACCCTACAAAGATTTAAAAGTTGTAGCTCGGAAAATATAAGGAACGAAAAGTATGAGGAAAAGGGCGAAGTCTACTACTTACCAACAGTTAAATCCTTTATATGTGAAAATTGTTTCACAGAAGTTGCAAACAGTGCCCAAATATCTGTTCTTTCTGGCTGTCCGCTATTTCAACAGGCCGCGATTCTCGTTCCGGGCGAGAAATAATCAATAATGCGCGTTTTAATGTACGTGCATGTCGCCTCAGGACAACTTCAAACCAGCAGTCACCTCGGAACAACTTCAGACCAGCAGCCGCCACTATGGTGCTCCACTATCCCGACGACACCTTGACCGTGGCGAATGTGACCACGCTGGCAGTTCCGACGCAAGTAGTAGCTCATGACTGTTTTCCTACGACCATAGTGCCACCTCTGAGAGTATCCCCGCGTGGCGCAGAAGGGGCTAAACTAGATGGCTAGGACTCACGAGCAAATACAATGGAGGAAGCTGCAGGAGAAGCGGTAGCTGCTGCTCGTGAGTCCCAGCCATCTAGTTTAGCCTTTTCCGCGCCTCGCGTAGCAACGCGGGGGATACTCCGGGAGGTGGCACTGTAGTCGGCGAAAAGTGGTCCGGAACTTACACATAACTGTGGCCCTGCCGTAGGATAGCACACTGCCAACTCTAGATATAAATAGCCTGAAGATGGCCCTGCCGTAGGATAGCGCTATCGGCAGTATTCTCACGTGTCGCAAATTTTTTTTGTCCGTAGTTAATCCTAGTTTTGCCGCCGTGTAATCTCCGTTAAAAAATCTGTTGCGTTTCGCAAAAATGTCGTGGCAATTAATCCTACTTTCGACACGGTTGAATCGCCGCAAAAGAAATGCGAATTTTAGATATGAGTGAGGCTCTGTTTGGGTTTACTTTCTGCGTAGATCATTTGGGACCGTTATTTAAAGGAGAGCCCAGTTTCTCAAGGAATTGTAGACTGATAATTTGTATTTCTCAAGTTGATTAAGTTAACATTGAAAAATAACAGATATTAACAGTCATTCCTGGCCTTCTATCAACATTTAAGCTTTCTTCAGCACAGTGTTCAAAGATAAACATACAAGCAACCATCTCCATCTTCTCTTATCTCTGATCTCCAGCTACATCATCAGTATTCAGACTGGACACATTTTAAATAATTCTTTGTTTCACGTGGTGCATAATAACATACTGGATTGTTCTCATCAACAGGGTATGCTGTTTGCAAATGCAGAGTGCTGCAGAACAGTAGTTAACTTGGTGAGACTTTACTTCCATGAGGCAGAAAGAGTCTACAAAGACAAGCTAGTAGATGAAAATGATATTGACATGTATGACAAGTTTCAAGTGGAGATCCTCAAAAAGAACTTTGAGGTTTGGAATTTTTCTTTCATCTGGAGATCCCCTGTAATTCCCTCTAATGCTGACAATTAATTGAGCTCAAAAGAAAAGTATCTAGGGTAAATAGAATATAGGTCCCAGAGGTGACATGATAAGAGGAAAGTCAATGATGACTGACACAGTCAAAGGAACACAATTGTATGGTTAATTCCCAGAAATAAACTAAAGATATAACTACTCTCTAAATAAATTATTTAACAGTCATGTCACAATAAACTGATAAGTGAACTCGAGTTGGGTCAATAAAATAAATAAATGCACTTTAAAGAATAAATCAAGTCAACCCATAAACTAATAATTACTGAACAAAGCAGTCTTTCTGTATGAATGGAACAATATTTACTGGAGATGAAGCCCACCCAAAATTCCCTTCATCTAATCAATGAACAAATAATTTTAAAACTAAAGAATGTTCATCTTCTAAAACATAAACCTTTTAAGATCAGCATTAATAAGACACTTCACTCAACTTAAGGTTTTCTCCAGTTAAATGACAAGCCTGGGGTTAGTGATAGAAGAATCTTTCCTGGTTAGTTCAGTTTGATTCAGATTGTCTGCAGGACCTCTGAGGCATTCTGCTGCAATGGCTCCTTCCATACACACTGCACACACACATGTTGGCTTTTCATATTACAAGTGAAGTTTGGTGGTACACATTGTCGTTGGAGACACTTTCTTTACTTGTGTGTTATAACTGGAATGTTCTTGCTTGAATTGGAACCTAAAATAAAATTCCAGTTTCCCTCTAGTAAAATACAGCTGACCAAAAGGATAGATAATATGGGGTGTTGTTGTTGTTTTATTATCAGCATATTTTAAGTGAAAAAAACAAAGTAATGCATATAAAGCTTTACAATAAAAGTAAATCTTTACCTTAGCATGTGTTGTTTACTTCATGACATAATGTTTACAAACAGTTTTTGCTTTAATGATCTGATGTTGATCAAAATCATTGTGCAGCACAGGATGATGATTTACCATATATGATTATTAACTAAAGATAACCCTACCAAGGGAGTAGTCCCTTTAAAGAGCCTTTTGAGTAGATAAAGGTACCACTAAAGGAATAGCTCTAACCATGAATGGTAATGAATATGTCAGAACTAGTCAGTGATTTCTATCAATTAATGGACAGTTATCTATGAAGAGAATGTTCTGGAATGTTCCATCCAAAATTTTCAAAGAATTGTATGATTTAGATCAGATATTTTAAATAGCAGGTTTATGTTTACATGGGTTTTCCATGGGATATGAACTATTCCCCACAATTATAAAGTGTACCGATATTTTGTAAATGTTCTAAAAATTTTAACTATTTAACAGAGCTGATGGAAAAGTGTTTTGACTTTGTTAGATGGGAGCAGCAAATGACTATGTATTATTAGGTGTCCTACATACAAGCCAATATCAACATTTAAAAAAAAAATACATGCTATTCACGATATCCATGATGTTGATTTTTTATTCATAGCTTTATGGACTCTTCTGGGTCACAGGGGTGTGAGTCTATTCTGGGACATCTGTCCTGTGTCGAGCGAACTGTGACTCGACATATTGAAAGGTTGCCTGGCTGGGATAAATTAACCCCACCAACTCACATCGGTTGAGAGCGTACAGCCAAGACCCGCGGTGTGTTACAACTGTTAACCGCTCTTTTCTTTTTGTTTATGGGTGGCGCTAAAAAGCGCCGTGGCTGTCTTGATCAGAGCCGGCCATTAGCTGCAGGTCCTAATAAGGACTGCCAGTGAGTAGTGATACCTTTCAGATTTTCTGCGGTAGACAAAAGTCGACAATTCTTCTTTTTCGCAGTGTCAGTATATTCTGTAGGTGCCACCCAGCAAAGACACTCTCATCGATTTTGACCATCATATTCGGTCTCCCGATCACTGTATGATTCATTATCAGCTTATGTGTGCAAACCTCCCGCAGGTAACTAGTAGAGGCAATTGTTGTTAAAAGTGACATCCCCAGCTCTGACTAACTGGCAAAATTAAAGTCTAGTCAACTCCCGACTCCAGCAGTATACGAAAAGTGTAACCTATCTGTAACTGAGACGTGCGCTCTTCAGCCAAATGCCTTTCTTAAAAGCCAATTTCTGTCGACAATCTACATGACGGCATCTCAAATAATCCTCACGATCGCTCAGTCAGGACCATAAGATGATTTTTAGAACAGCGTCTCGACGAAGGAAAGATGCCGTGCTCCTGCAGGAATTTAACGCTTCTCTTCTTGTCACTGGTCAGCACTGACAACTTAAGAAAATTCATGTCTGCTCACTATGGCAATTCAAGCCACAATGCGTTGCTCGTTCCCGGAATGCCACAATGAACAGCGACATGCAACATTGCGTATCGGTCAATGCCTTGCTCACAGAACGGCACAATGAACAGTGACACGCAACATTGTACATCGGTCAATGTGTTACTCACAGTATGGCGCAATGAACATGCAACATTGCACATCGGTCAATGTGTTACTCACAGAACTGCACAATGAACATGCAACATTGCACATCGGTCAATGTGTTACTCATAGAACGGCACAATGAACAGTGACACGCAACATTACACATCGGTCAATGTGTTACTCACAGTACCGCGCAATGAACATGCAACATTGCACATCGGCCAATGCGTTGCTAACAGAACGGCACAATGAACAGTGACACGCAACATTGCACATGGGTCAATGTGTTACTCACAGAATGGCACAATGAACAGTGACATGCAACATTGCACATCGGTCAATGTGTTACTCTCAGAACTATACAATGAACAGTGACACGCAACATTGCACATGGGTCAATATGTTACTCACAGAATGGCACAATGAACATGCAACATTGCACATCGGTCAATGTGTTGCTCACAGTACGGTGCAATGAACATGCAACATTGCACATCAGTCAATGTGTTGCTAACAGAACGGCACAATGAACAGTGACACGCAACATTGCACATCGGTCAATGCATTGCTCACAGAACGGCGCAATGAACATGCAACATTGCACATCGGTCAATGCGTTGCTAACAGAATGGCACAATGAACAGTGACATGCAACATTACACATCGGCCAATGTGTTGCTCACAGAACAGCGCAATGAACAGCGACATGCAACATTGCACATCGGCCAATGTGTTGCTCACAGAATAGTGCAATGAACAGTGACACACAACATTGCACGTCGGCCAGTGTGTTGCTCACAGAATGGTGCAATGAACAGTGACATGCAACATTGCACATCAGTCAATGTGTTGCTAACAGAATGACGCAATGAACAGTGACATGCAAAATTGCACATCGGTCAATGTGTTGCTCACAGAACGGCGCGATGAACAGCAACACGCAACATTACACATCATCGTTGTCCCCGAAATAATCTAGAATTAGCTCACACTCCTGTGCCCCAAAGCGGTCCAATGATTTATGAATGAAGCAGCGCGCAGTGCGTAACCTAATTTAAACATCACGAATATCGTGAACACCACTAAAAAATCAATGCTCTAAACTCATTTGTTCGTTTAGGGCTATTCCCACCAATGTGTATTTCAGTTAAGATGTTTAAGAGTTAAACCTAAATGATTCTAACACTTACTGGACCAAAGTTAAAAAAACCCACACAAAATGCCCACAATATGAAAAGTCAAAAATACAAAAGTCTCAGCAAAATCCAAAAGTTTGCACCCGCATCAACTGCCTAAGACAGCCACCTGAGGTGCCAACACCTACAGTTTGTCACTAAAATTTTCTGTTCATTTTTGATGGAAGTAGCAGTCATAACAAACCAGCAGGTGCACACGCATTACTGCATGCAAAAATGTGTTGCCTTTAGTCTCATTGTCACTCACCCTTGAATTTCTTACAGTAGGTAAAACTGAGCCAGACACTGCTTTTAGCATGAGCCTGACTGCTAGAAATGTTTTATAGATTCCCCCCTTATATCTAGTGCATTTTCTCCATATGCAAGATCCAGTGTTTTGGGAACGCAAGCAAATGATTACTGGCCTGTAATGCAATGTCCTCATTAAAAAAAATATGTAGACAAGAGGATTATCACATCAAATCAGAAATCTAAGCAGGCTTGTTATTCACTAGAGGCAGTTATGCATACTGCAATAAAATCATGGCAGGTAGAGTTAAATAAGAAGTGCAAGGAGAATATAGAAGTAGATGAGGAAGATGAACAAAACAAAAAACCGAATTGATTTTTAAAACCTGCAAAGAATTCTAAGGAAACAATAATGGGCCATTTTTTGTAAGATAGAGATATGCACAGATAAGACTCTCCATAAATAACAACATAAACAGAAGAAGTTGTCAGCAAGCCCACTCAGTCAAATGCCTGTCAGATACCTCCTGCAGACCAAGGCAGAGAGAGGTAGCCTTTTAGCTCTGGGCGTGTTAAAGACATTAAGGTACTAGAGATACTATGCAGCACAAGACAGATCACGACCTAAAAATTGTAATACAGAAGTAATTTGTCAATGTTCTTCTTATTACACTTGCCTTAACTCATATCAAGCAGCTGACTGTGTGTTTATTAGGGTTTCCTTAAATGATCAATTTTTAATACCTGATGTTTGATACAGTTGTAACATTGACCACAGTTGTAACATTGACCACAGTTGTAACATTGACCACAGTTGTAACATTGACCACAGTTGTAACATTGACCACAGTTGTAACATTGACCACAGTTGTAACATTGACCACAGTTGTAACATTGACCACAGTTGTAACATTGACCACAGTTGTAACATTGACCACAGTTGTAACATTGACCTGTTCTATTCAGCTTGCTAGTTATTACTCCAACTCTTTTTGTCCATAGTGATATTATTGTAAATATTTCAGGATCAAACACTTATAAGCAGTAATAGTTTAGGATAAAAAGAGTTAAGAAAACACCTGCCTGGTACTTAACCAGTTATGAATAATAGAAACACTGTCTCTGGTCCTAACTAAGGCTTGCAGCACATAAAAAAAAAAAAAAAAACTGGGCGAGTTAGATATTAAGGAAGTAGCCAAGAGTTTCAACAAAATTGTACAGAATGTCATAATACCAGAAGACTGGTTTCTCAGCTTTACTGAAATCTGATTTTTTAAAAAAAAACATTGCACAGTTCAGTAGCTGATGCATCATTAAACTACAAAACTTGAATCATAAGTGAAATATCATACATTTAAGCCACTCTGTCCTTAACTCACTTTAATAAAGTCAAGGAGCCTTTTCCCTGCCTTTAGGCGTATAGGGCATATAGGGCTAAACCTATATTTTTATAGACCAATCGGCACAAGATGGGTGATGTGGTCAGCATCACACCGGCCACCTTTACTTCCTGGGACTGCACCCGGTACCCATTTAAGGCTGGGTCGACCTGGAAGCCAAGGTCAACACACTTTAATGATTTTGTAATTTATGAATTAATAAAAAAGATAAAGAGAATCGGTGATGTGCTAGTGCAATAGTAATTATGGCAGACATAGGTATTTTGTTTTATAATGTGTTTGTTGTTTAATGGACATAGATATTTTGTGATGTCATGACCAGTTTATCAATCATGTGTTGTCACCACTATACAAGTTAGCTGTAGTGAATCTCTAACACACTCTGTCTCCTGCCCTGTTTACACACTCTCTCAAACTACTGTTCATCTATCTCTTGATGTTATCCATCCACTTAAATTGCTGCCCACCTTTTATCCCGACTGGCTTTACCTTTTCCATTGTTATGCCTTTTTAAAAAAAGATATGTCATGTTTTTTAATGTGGCTTAAATATTTTCAAATGTCTTTTTTTACATTTCTGTCAATAACCCTGTATCTTTTAACGTGGCTCGAATATTGTCAAATGTCTCTTTTTAAATTTCTTCAATAACCTCTTTTCATTCCAATTTTTTTCAGCAACGCTAAATTGTGTCATTATTGTTTTCATGAAATACAGACTGTACAAAAGGTTAATAATTAAAGCAGACAAAGATGGTGGTGTGTAATCATGTAACATAAATTAGCTTTATAGTAATGTGTTAACTTTTTAAAATTTTTTATAAATAAACTAAAGGATCAGAAAGAAGACCAGATCAACGAAAGGCCCCGCATCTGCTGCCACTTTGCTCATGGTGTCGGCGATCTGAGCTATGACTTCATTCAGAGTTGGCCTCAGATCAATAAAATTCTCACTGATGCTCTGGACAGTTACAATGAATTGAATGCAGCAATGAACTTGGTTCTCTTTGAGGATGCCATGGCACATATCTGCAGGATTAACAGAATTCTGGAGTCACCTAGAGGCAATGCTCTTCTCATTGGCGTGGGTGGAAGTGGCAAGCAGTCCCTTTCTCGTATGGCAGCCTTCATTAGTGGGCTGGATGTGTTTCAGGTTGGTCTGGTTTGAGATATTCAAGTATATTTGTTTTCATGAAAGGTTATTTGTCTGTTTTGTAACCTAATGAGGTAAGACAAAGGTGGAAGTGTTGGCTTCATGGTTCACACAACACCCCAACCCTTACCCCCAATGTGGAGGACTAGGGTATTTCTCTTTGTTCTCTGAATAATTGTGCTAACTTATATTTCTTCACTACAGCACCTTATGGCAAACTTTAGAGAATAGATCAATATTCATCAAAGATGAAAATAGCGAAGAATAGAGAATGAGAAACAACAACAAAATTATTAATGTTTAAATTGCTATTGATTACTGGCATATTGAGAGCTAATAGACTGCAATGGTTTAGACATAAAGAGAGAGTGATAAATAACAGAGAGATAAAAACTGTATACATAGAAGAGCTGACTAGGAGTAGACCACAAGGCACACACACACACACACACACAAATGGTGGAGAAAAAATATACAGGCAGACCTACAAACACTTGGAATCACCAGTTTGAAAGAGAAGGCCTGTCACAGAAATAAAAGGAGGCGGGTGATATCTGTAGCAATTGGTGAACCTCTTGGGCTCACAAGGCTGAAGAAGAAGAGGAAAATAAAAAGTAAAAAAAATAAAAAAAATATTCTGTTAAATCTAAAACAATAAAATGTCTGGGGAAAGACCAAGCTATAACTGGTACAATGCAGTCGGTTAGTTGCGTATCCTTTACAGGCCGTTGCAGGACCAACCCTCATCAGCCCCTGGCTGTTGTGTGGTTTTACTAGGCAAATTTATGTCCAATAATTTGCCATTGCTTTCTGGATGGTCGGCTCCCTGATACCACTGTCGAAACCAACGCAAAGGCGTATGGCTGCAGCTGGAATCGAACCCGGTACCCCGGCATTACGAAGCCTTTGCATTGACTTAGCCACAGAGCTGACATAATGCAGTAGATCCTCTTTTAACCTTATGAGAAAATGTACACCGGTATTCTAATGTTTCACCAGTTGCTTAGTCTTGATCAAGTCACTTATGCAACAGTTTTCTATTTTGGTTTAAATTAATCTTGACTCTTTAAGTAGTAATCAGCACAAAATGTGTGACTGAACATCACTGATGTGCTTCAGTCAGTATGCTATTATGTTTGTGCATCTAATATTTTGTCAGAGTAAACTAAACAAAATTCCAGGCATACATGTGCCCCCTTTATTGTGCAGGTTACCTGCCACTGCAGATGCATGATACCTATGATTTTTTTGCTTTCATTATTGCCTCAAATTGACATCAGCTATGATCTTTTGGGACCTTAAGAATTAAATATGATTTTGTTTTTAAAGAAGAACCTGATGATACATGCATTTTGAATCATTTATTTGATGCATTTATTTTCTTGACAAAGTGGCTGAAAGATTTCACTGCACTGAATGCAGTAGTTTTCATTTATTCTTTCTTGTCTTCACCATCTCAGATCACATTGACTAAACAATATGGAATAACAGAACTAAAAATGGACTTGAATGGCTTGTACAAGAAAACAGGACATAAAGGTAATCTCGGCTTAAGGCCACCATCTTCAAGATTTACTTTATTTAACACAGTCACTGCTTCTCTTTTTTTTAAAACAGTACATACATTAGATTAACTAACATTAATTTAAAAAACCCTTGTTCATGGCTTCAGGTGTATTGGACAATAAATGCTAGATCTATATTTTATAGGCCAATCAGCACTTGGTGGTGATGTAGTCACTATCACACTGGCTATCTTTACTTCTTAGTACTTTACCTGGTATTCATTTAATGATGGATCGACCTGGGAGTTAAGATCATTTAAAAAAAAAAGTCTTGTTCCGCTGGGTTTTGAACTCACGACCTTTGGATCCACAGGTGAGCTTTTAGCCATTACACCACAACAGCCCTAACACACATTAGTAATAACCTTGTTTTCTAAATTGTAAAGTAAATGATGATGAATGAGGAAAATGTCACAGAGTGTAAAGATCCTGTTGTTTAAAAAACAAATAGTACGGATGGTAAAAAAAAAAAAAGTAAAAGTAAAGGTCCTGTTTTCATATTCTGAAGAGAAGCTGGCATGTGATACAATGCACATATTTGTGGAGAGTCAACACCCATGTGGTTAGCATCATGCAGGCCTCCAGTATTTCCTTGTAGCCTTTTTAGTTAGGAAGGGTTTTTGTGAGCCTGCATTTCTACTTCTTCTTTTTTATCTTCTTCACTTCCTCTTTTACCGCTGTGGGTGTCGAGGGAGATATAAGGTTCTGTTTCTAGCTCTTCTGGCTGCCTCGACCATAGGCACATCGTGCTGTTGTAGAGTTTCTCTGATGTTATCCTTCCATCTTGTTCTTGGTCTACCCCGTGCTCTACCTCCTTCTTCTCTTTCCATGTATGCTTTGTATGGTATGGTGTCACAAGGCATTCTCTCTAAGTGGGCAAACCATTTCACTTGCTGTCTTTGTATGTAATCCAGAATTGGTTCTGTGCCGACTTGTTCTCTTATGATCTCATTCCCGATCTTATCTCTTATGGTCACTCCTACAGCCCTTCTCAGGCATCTCATTTCCGTGGTTACTAATTTTGTTTTATGGTTTGTTGTGAGTGACCATGTCTGGCACTGGTAGCACAGAGTTGGAATGAATATGCTTTGTCTACAATTCTGAAATAATGTCAAGATTCAGCTACAGGCAATTTGACAGCAGACAGATTTTGCATTGATTATTGACAATGGTGGGTAGAACTGATCATTCAGTAAGTAAAGCAAACTGCTGGACATAAAGTTGTCTAGTAAATCCACAAATCCAACAAATTCTGGAGTTGGTTGCAATGTCCTGAAGAGGAAATGCAACTAAGTTGATTTGGGAGAATAAAAAAGTAAAAAGAAATTTAAAGGAGTGTTTTTGATGTCAGATGCTCAAATGGTCAGGAAGAAAAATATGGTACAAAAGAAAACATTACATTTTAAGTATTTGTTATTTTAGGCAATGCTTCAGGCAGGCACAACTGTTTAACATTTTTTTTGTTTTTTGAGTTTTTTTGTTTACATTGCATTTGCAGTCGAACATACTAGGTCAACATGTTTTGAAAAAAAAATGAAAATTAAGTAGAATATAGAAGCACAGTTTAGCTAATTGTTATTAAAAACCCCCTGGTATAAAGTGGCACATTCAGCGCAGCAGAGTGAGTATTCAGTCCTGGGAAGACTGATTCAGTGGAGACAAACAGAAGGTCTAGGTGACATTTTGTGAGGTAAAAGGATAGACCTAACCTGGCTACTAAGTTTACCAATAGCGTTATAACAATTGTAGGTTACTGAGGAAGTTAGAGAAAGTCCGGAAATGCACTGCATGCCGTGATAGTGTTTCCCGAAACCATATACTGCCCTAAATTATCTTACATAAAACTGTCACCCCCAAAACTTTGCCAGTCCAAAAGTATTTCCTATTCACTCCAACCACCTAGTATATTTTATTTGGTTTCAAGTCTACAAGTTTAGGAGCAGTTCTTGTGCTGTTGTGTTGTTAAGTTGGTATGTTTAGTACAACAGCTAGCATCTGTAGTATTAAAGTTGTAAATGTGGTTTGTCATTACAAGATATCTGGTTTGATTCCAGCTGTGGGCCAGTTTGCAGCAGATCGCTTTGCATTAACTTTGACAATAGTATCTTGTGTGTCATTGATTTATCTCCATTGTAGACATTCTTTTGTATATATGTCTAGTGGACATGTGTCAGGTTCATGCTTCAGTAGACCCGTCACAGGGAAATCCCTGGAGACCCGCTGAATGTGACTTGGCGTAAGATTAACATATTCCTCAGAATTAACTGAAGCCTGAGCATGATGTATTTCCGATACACATATATTCAAAAGTATGTCTACATTGGAAATAAATAAATGACACACAACATACCCAGAGCTGACCATTCATAAGCTATGGCAAACTACCAAATGTAAAAACTGCCTAGTAAATTCAAAACAACCCGGAAAAAAAAAGTTAGGGTAGGTTTGTAATGTCCTCTAAAGAATACAGCCTAACTGTTTAGTACATGTTGTGAGTAGTTTAACTCTTTCAGCCCCAACCAATGCACCATGTGTGATCAGTGACTGCCCATAAGTACCAAACCATGAAAGATGTTATATGGCATTTAGTCTAGTAATACAATAAAAATAGGGCTGGCTACTCTAAAAATCCTGAGTATTTATGTTGTTTCATATGTAACATTAACGTTTTCCCAGATTGCTTATGTTCATTGAGACTGTCGTTACTGTAAAATGTTCCGGCTGTTACCTAAAAAGCTAAGACAGATTTCTCTTGCTGTCATCTATCTAGGTCTTGGAGTAGTGTTTTTGATGTCGGATGCTCAGGTGGCCAGTGAGATGTTTTTGGTGTTGATAAATGATCTGCTGGCCTCTGGAGAGATACCTGGCTTGTTTGGAGAGGATGAAGTGGAGGAGATCATGGGTTCAATGATGAATGAATGCAAACAGATTGGAATACCTGACACTAGAGAAAATGCTTGGTCTCTGTTTATTGATAAAGTCCGGAAAAACTTGAAAGTGAGTTTTAGTATATTAATACTGTTTAGTTCAAAGATTAATTTTAGCAGATGTTGTAGGGCATAGTAAACTTTATTTTCGGTTAGTATTTTAGATTGTATTTCTTCTCTTAGTATGTTTGAAATTTGTACCCAAATACTTGTGTGATTCCATTTGTTTGATTTTCATTTTATCTGTCGGTATGTGGCTAGAGTGTTTATTCTTTCCCTGTCTTTTTATTTCCATGTTTTTTTTGTTTTTTTTTTGTTTTGTTGTTGATAACTAGTCCTATTTTCTGAGCTGCATCCTTTGGGTGATTTGAGTGTTTTTACTGTCTCTAGTCCACTTTCTGCAACTGTGTCTATGTCATATGCATAGCCAGGTATTCTTGTAGTTTTTTCTATAGTACAGCTTTTTTTTTACCTTATAATTTTTTCTATGGCCAAGCTAAAAAGAAGAGGGGCAGGGCATCACTTTGATTTAAACCAGATGCTTTTTGAAAAGGATTTGACTTTTGCCTTAAAATGCTACTATATTAGAAGTGTCCTTGTATAATATTTCAGATTATTATTCTCAGTTATGACTGAAATCCAGACATCTTTCACTTGTTAAGAACTAAATCACTCCTCACTGATCCTGTTCGTGCAGAATTGGTGTCACACTGGCCATGTTGTCAATGTTGTGCAGCAGAACCTTTGCATGTGTGAAGTTTGAATGCATGCTTACTTGTTCACTAGTCTGTTTTTTATTGTAGGAACTACTTTGGTGTAGAGGCTAGATGCTCACCTGCAGAATTGGAGGTTGTGTGTTCACATACAAAGTTTTTTTTTTTTTAAATGGCTTTGGCTCTCATGTCGAACCAGCCTTAAATGGGTACCATGTAAAGTTCTGGGAAGTAAAGGCTTCCAGTGTGATGTTGACCTCCTCATCAACTACTGAGTGCCAATTAGCCTGTAAAATAGCCTGTAAAATATAAGTCTAGCACTATATGCCCAATACGCCTGAAGGCAAGGAAAGGGTCCTTAGCTGTTTTTAATTACAAGGCCGTACAAAGGCCATACATTATCATGTTCTATGCATATTTACCAGCATATCACTCCATGGACAGGTTTCATTTGGTCATACCTTGTATATAAATTAACCTCACCCTCAATGCTTTCATAGTCTTTCTTTATCAGGTCATACATTGTTGTCTGCCTTGTCTGCCTAATTCTGTCTGTGGTTATTTTTATTCCAGTAGGTGCATGTAAATGTTTTGTTTGAAGAACAATTGTTACTTGTTTAGCAGTAACAGATTGGTATATCATTAACACCTAATGTTTTATCACCTGATAGGTGGTACTTTGCTTCTCGCCTGTTGGCAACACCCTCCGTGTTCGAAGTCGCAAATTTCCAGCCGTCACCAACTGTACCAGCATTGACTGGTTCCACGAGTGGCCAGAGGAAGCCTTAATTTCTGTCAGTCGCCGTTTTCTAAGTGATAATGAGCTATTGGAGGTAACTGCCTGCTGTGGAATGTGAAGATGTTTAACCCTCTTGCCTGGTAATGCTAAGATCTAGGTCTGTCTGGGTTTTTGATGGCTTGAAGTCTTTGGACAGTGGTAACTACACTTGTAGGCTCTTTTCTTTTATTTCATAGGGAATTCTCGGTAAGTCCAATATCAGGGGGAAATAAGGAGTGTTAGCATTAGGGTTAATGTTAGCGGTAATGTAACACCCTAACACCTTAATACTATTGGACTTCTGGACATTGGTCTTGTTCTAGAACTTGAGTTGCTCATGCAGATCCATTTGCTAGATCTGGCTTATTGTGTGAGCATGCTTCATAATGCCTGGGTGCCAGGTTTGATCCCAGCTGCAAGCGATTTGGCAGCAGACTGTTTTTCATTGATTGTGACAGTAGTATCCAGAGTCAACTGTTCAGACAGCAATGGCAAACTACTGACATAAATTTGCCTAGAAAAACCACAACTACCCCCAAAAAATGATGGTTTTGGTTCTGCAACGTCCTGTAAAGGATACACAACTAACATAACTTATTTTGTATGCAGACTTTTGGTTCCTCGCCTCTCAGGTAGATGTACTCTGACCGCAAAAGGAAACATTCCTTATTAGTTTACCTTTGCATAAAATGTTTGTTAGAGAGGCAGTGAGTCTCCCTCATCCTCACCCCTTCCAGAATGGGGGCCTTGGAACTCACACCAGCATGTGGCTTGTTTACAAAACAATAAATTCTTAGTCAAAGAGAGGAAAGCAGTTAATTCTGTGTTCCATTTAAATCTCCCCCAAAAGATATGCAACACTATTGCTGATGTAATGGACAGCCAAGTTTGAACTTTTACCAGTATTTTATTTGACGGAATTCATGTTTCAGTCTTGACAAGAAGATACTTTATGACCGGAACAATGCAATGTTTTTCATTACATTTGGTTCACACTTTTATTGTTTGTGAACGGGACCTCCATTTTAGGAGTGTGTAAGGCCTCCTCTGGTCTCTGTTGAAGAATGGCATCTTTTGGCATTGATCTGATTAGCTGTTAGATGAGTTGTTGTGGGATGACTGCCCACTCTTCTGGAAGTGCAAGAGACATCTGTTGAAGATTAGCTGGAGCCATGTCTTGCTGATGGACTTGTCTGTTGAGTTCATCCCATATATAAGTGGTTTATGGGGTTCATGTCCAATGACAAGGCTGGATATTGCTCTCAGTGAGGAACTGGGTGGTGAGTAATGCCACATGAGGTCTATAGTTACCTTTCTGAAAAATTTACCTTTGTGTTGCCGAAAGTGGATGATCACGAGGACAAAGAATTTCAGTCACATATAATTGGGCATTCAGCCATCCTTCAGTTTGCACTATGTCACTTCTTCTCATGAAGCTGATCGCTCCCCACATCAGTACACCTCTGTTAGCATATGGAGAAAAGCTCATTCACACAGTTGTGAGAAAATGAGAGAGGAAGGGAGGGAGAGGACATATTTTTGCCATGTTCTGAGAATAAAGAAATGATTATTCTGGGACATCTATAAGTATTTATATAAGGAGATATAGAGGTAGAAAATGCAAGAGGACTCTTGGTAGCCCTGTTGTCATGAGATGGAAAAGTGTCTGCACATGAACTGATGAGACTTGGTGTTGAAGACTGAGGATCACAAGCTATGTGACCATGCATGTCAACATTTAAATTGATGATGATGATGAGAAATGTGTCTGTTATGGACTTGAATGCAAGTCGAGTACACTTCTCCATGGAGGTTGGTGTTTGCACCAAATAGAGTTTATGGTAGTGTATTTCTATATGTAGTTACTGTTTTATGTTATTTATGTATTTGTAATGTAAATAACCAACTGCAGTCTTTCTTGTTTCCACTTGCAGCCAAATATGCGGGATTCTATTTCCCAATTCATGGCCTTTGTGCATAAGTCAGTCAATGAAGCAAGTGCTTCTTACTTGAGGAACGAGCACCGTTACAATTACACTACACCCAAATCATTCTTGGAGCAGATCAAGCTCTACCAGAACCTGCTTGCAAGCAAGTATGAAGAGTTACAAGCCAGTATTATCAGGCTAGAGAATGGATTAGAAAAACTTCGTAGCACTGCATCCCAGGTATGATGATTATTTGTCATGTCTTTATCCTCGAAAATACACTGGCAAGTTGAAAGAAAGAGAGCAAGGGGAAGTCAAAAAGATAAATACCTTGTTGGCTTGCCTACATGGATGGAGGTGAGACAAGAGCTCTGACCTGATCTGTGATTATGGCGATCATGTGAGATGGCAGAGCTTGATCACTGCTTTTTTGCATGGCTCATTATGATGATTAGGAGGATGGTGATGATCATGGATGTTGTATATTACAAAATTTTCCCCTCTCTCCTTCGATCCCTCCCTCCCTTCCTTTGTGCATGTGTGCATTCATCTTATCACTGTGTCCCTCTGTCTTTATCTATATACTATAGTGTGTGTTTTTAATTTTCTTATTCTGTGCATTGCATGTGTTAAAAACAATTTTTTTTGTGTAGTTTATATTTATGTTTATATATATTACTGAGGGGGGGGGGGGGGGGGGGGTTTGTACATTCCTTATCAACAAATTTAAAAGATATTCCTGCCTATAATTACTTATTATTTTCAAAAACATATGCAGACAACAATTTTGTTTTAAACTTCACCCAATTTTGTGAATTAATTTACATTTGTATACTTGAAAAGTTGTAAAATTATGAAAAAATATTTTCTTATCAACAGTTTCTAGGTTCTGAATAAATGTTTGCTTTGGCTTTAGCAGATTAGTATAACTTTGTGACTAACAGCGTTATTGCCAGCAACTTCTATGAAACCACACCACTGTACAAAGTGGTTACAATAGAGTATTTTAGGAATTAGTAACCAACTCAGGCCCAGCTCTGCCCTGCCCATCTACATACTAGCTGATCTGTCATTGATGACTGACTGGTCTGGCTGGTCTACATTAGAGGGGTGTAGAATGCACTCTGTCGTCAGACCTAGGTTCAGTTTTTGGGGTAGGGGGGCTGGGGTTAGGACCAGTTGTACGTGTTATCGAGTTGTTAAAACTGCTCACATCCTGTAATGTAGAGCAAGTCAGGTTGCTGGTATGACCGTCGAGAGAATACAACGTTGCATCAACCTGACATCCCTGCCACTTAAACTTACGCGTCTCAAAGGTTAACACGCATAAATGAACATCCAATCACAGTGTCCGGGCCTGACTTTGTCACTCATAAGTGTGTAGGTGGTTGGAGTTGGGACTGAGTTTGTTACATTTTTTGTATTTTTAGATGCAAGATCCCTGTGTGGTTTCCAGGGATCCATTTTGGCTTTTAATATTTAATAAATTGTAAAATGATAACATCAGATATATTATAAGGTATACTATACTAGTAAACAAATAGATCAAAGAAAATAAAGTGTAGTACTGTTTTTTTTCTTCTTATCTTTGAATTGCTGCTCCATGAAACACAATGTATTGAACATCATTTCAAAGTGAATCACATAAAGAGCTTATAAAATCTATTCAGAGAAAACGGTACTTTTAAGGAATTTAGGGTAAAAATCACTTAATAATATTACTCAGTGACAACAAAAATGAAACCGAACACATATGAAACACTAATGACAGCCATTTTGCATCAGCCTCAGAAAGTCATGTGACCAAATTTGCCAACAGGCCCAGTACTAGTCGGTCATGGTCTAGGCCTATGTGCCCAGTACCTCTGAAGGTGTGAACAAGGGTCCTTTATTTTACTTTACTTTTCAAATGCTACTATATTGTTACCAAAGTTACTTTTCACAAAACATCTGTGCTATATTTAGAATTGATAAATCTTTAAATCCTCTTTCACAGATGTGTCACAGATGTGTCACACAAAGTACATACCATTTTCTGTTATTTCTGTTTACAGGTGGATGATTTAAAATCCAAACTGGCATCACAAGAAGTGGAACTGGCTGCGAAGAATGCAGAGGCCAATGATCTGATCGCAGTTGTCAGTGCTGAGACAGAAAAGGTCATGGCAGAAAAAGCTATAGCTGATGTGGAGGAGGAGAAAGTGTCAATAATTGCAGTGGAAGTAGAACAGAAGGCTAGTGACTGTTCAAGAGATTTAGCTAAAGCTGAGCCTGCACTGTTGGCTGCAAAAGACGCTTTGAATACATTAAACAAGGTAACGATCTATATACAAAGTTATTTACATTTAAATAATAGCCATTTTGTTTACAAACTTGTTTTGCTCTGTTTTTTTTTTTTTATTGGGTAGGTTCATAAACCCGTAGAAATTTCCATTAAAAATCCTTTTAAAAAATTTATTCGGGTCATATTATTTATCCATATTTAGAATTTGTTTGTTAAATTATACAAAGATATATAAAGAATTAACCCGTAAACATAAACTGAATGAAGCCCTTAATAAAATACTTTCCCTGGGGCCTAAACAAAATACAGTATGTAGACTTATGCAGTGACCCTGTGACCTCTATCATTGAGGCTTATGGGACAATTTGACATTAACTTGGCTTTCAAAAAGCCCTTGGCGTCATACGGAAACCCCCTTAAATGCTATTTTTGGTACTTTATTAATATGCTGGCCTATTAAACACTGAGCATGCACACACAGGACCAGTATAATTCAACTATGTGTTCCAAGAACAGGATGGGTCACAACCAGAAGTGACAGGGTTAATATAGTAAATTTGGAGATAAAATATATAATTCATTACCTCCATATACTCAGTACCTCTTGTTATGTTTGTTCATTACCTGTCCTAATCTTGGTGTGTTCTAGCTAGCTGATAGCTGATCAGAACAACTTAAGTGGCTGCAACATATTAACAAACTGTTACAACTTTACAGAACAACCTGACTGTGTTCCGCATATTAATAAACTGTTACAACTTTACAGAACAACCTGACTGTGTTACGCATATTAATAAACTGTTACAACTTTACAGAACAACCTGACTGTGTTACGCATATTAATAAACTCTTATAACTTTACAGAACAACCTGACTGAGCTGAAGTCCTTTGGCTCACCTCCAGCAGCAGTAACAAATGTTATAGCTGCTGTCATGGTGCTGTTGGCTCCTGGAGGAAATGTACCCAAAGACAGATCTTGGAAAAATGCTAAAGCTTCTATCATGGCAAAGGTACGGTTTATTATGCAGATTAAGTTTTGTATGTTCTTTCTGTAAACCAAAGTACTTTGGCCATATTAAATGTCATAATAACTTGAAGAGAACAGCAGTGGAAGCTACAGTTCCTGGAAGAAGATATGAAGAATGGCTAGCCAGGATAGAATTATCCCTGGCATGAAAGTTCACAAGGTGGGAAAATATGCAGAGGGCGGAGAGGCCTTCTGGTATGCCATCATAAGAACAGCTTCTGTAAATTGCTTGTTAAATGAGGATGATGATGGTTGTGTTAATGAGACTGAGGTGAAATTTTTTTAAGGAAAAAAAAAGAAAAATGGAATGTATGTTTGTCGAGATGTACCGATATAGAACACCACCACTCCCCCAGGGTTACACAGTTATTTTGTGCTGCTTAATTACTATCATCATCTTCATCGTCTGTTGCCTCAGTCCTCTTGCCCTCACACACTTCTATTCAGAACTGGTGTTAATCAGATTATACACTATTCTTTAATGTTGCTATCAAGGTTGCATTGGGGAAGGGGGGGGGGGGAGACCATATTTTGGGGTGGCAAAATGTTGAGAGTGGGAAAATATAACTAGTGGTCGTAAAATGTTAATAATTTTACCACTCATGTTCTACCTTAAAATAAAAATAACAGACACATTTCTATGCTTTAGAAGGATAGGATATTCATATTTTTGACAGGTTGAATATAATTTAATAAGTTCTGTAAATTTCATGCTGGTCACCTTTACTTTCCAGAAAATTTTCTACTATCCATTTTAGACTGGGTTCTGAATCAAAGATTAACTGTTCTTTGATACAACTTCCTTCTATCCATTTCTTCTTGAATCCTGGCTTGTATGGCATGAATATTGTTAGT